CAGAAAAATGAAGTCATCATGGTCACCTTGCCAGCTGATGGAACAGGCTTTGCCATTTTCGTCGGAGGAGACGTCAGGTTGGTTGGTTGGTTTGTTGTTTAACGCCGCACTCAGCAATATTCCAGCTATATGACGGCGGTCTGTTAATAATCGAGTCTGGACCAGACAATCCAGTGATTGATATCATGAGCATCGATCCACGCAATTGGGATCGATGACATATATCAACCAAGTCAGCGAGTCTGACCACCCGATCCCGTTAGTCGCCTTTTACGACAAGCATAGTCGCCTTTTACGGCAAGCATGGGTTGCTGAAGACCAATTCTACATCGGAATCTTCACGGGTCAGGAGACGTCAAGTGTTTCAACTGCTTTGACTGTTGTTTAATCCGATAGTGGGGAAGCCAAAACACGTCCATGGTTACAAATCACTCAACTCATTGAGCTGGGTCTGCTTCAAAACGATGTTAAGTCTCACTAGAGAGGATGAACCTGAAGCGTTTCTAATCAGAATTCAGAAGACTTGGAACCCAGCGTGCTGAAACTGTTCACCATTGAGAATGTTTTTAACTCTGTTATGAGAGATGCTGATTGTATTGGCTATGTCGCGTATGGTGAGTCGTCAATCATCCCTTATCATATCAGTGAGTGAGTGAGTATGGTTTAACGCCGCTTTTAGCAATATTCCAGCAATATCACGGCGGGGGACACCAGAAATGGGCTTCACACATTGTACCCATGTCGGGAATCGAACCCGGGTCTTCGGCGTGACGAGCGAACGCTTTAACCACTAGGCTACCCGACCGCCCCCCTTATCATATCAAATATTTATATGTTTTCTTTAGCCGTGGCAGTTGAAGGTCTTCTTGATCTTGAAACATCTTCGAGACCGTCTCTCGTGTCTTCACCTCTTGAACTCCGCTGCCCACCTCTTAAAATTGGCAAAGGAAGGATCGTTATTAGATTCAACCTTAACATGAAGGGATATTTATTCGGTGCAAGGCCGATCGACTTTCAAGTCAACGGTGGGTAACTACTGGGCACCTTGGTAACTGATACAATGTAAGAGTTTGTAATGAGTGAGTGAGTGAGTATGGTTTAACGCCGCTTTTAGCATTATTTCACCAGAAATGGGCTTCACACATTGTACCCATGTCGGGAATCGATCCCGGGTCTTCGGCGTGACGAGCAAACGCTTTAACCACTAGGCTACCCGACCGCCCTGATTGTTTTGGAAGTTGTGAGAGATATTATGTTTAATGGCTTGAATGAAGTTCGGGTCGCCTCGTGGTCGCCAAGTCTATAATTGCATAGGCTGCCTATTGGGTATCCTCCCATTAGTTACACGTCCCATTTGTCACACACCTTAAAACAACATTGGTCATGGCTGAAGGCACTGACTGATCTGCACTATGTTACTTAAGTATTAGAGTGGAGTGATCAAAGAAAAGTAGAAACGTAATGTTGAACTTTATGTCGGGTATGAGAACTGCATGAAGTATATTAAATAGACACTTAAGAATTAATTATTTTAAGCCGTTTAAAATTCAGGCATGAATTTTATACTGTTTGAAATTCATGAGGCACAGCATATGAAGAGCTTCCATACTTAGAAGAATTTTCGATAATAATACATTTAATAGTTTTAAAAGGAAGAGAAGATTAATCACATCTATAAAATGATTAGTATACAACAGTATACTACAGTAGGATGCGTATTGTGTTGAGTAGGGGTTAGCCCACAGTGTGAGAAGAAAATTGTCGGGTTTGTGGTGGTAAAAAAGACTTAGGTAATACGTCAGAATCATTTTCTGGCAAAGCACAATTCCAAGTGACCGGAAAATGTATGCGGCTGTGTACAGTGAAACAGAATATGCTGATGTTCCAAACGGCCATGGTCAGCAAGAAGGGGAACACAACTGATGCCCATGGAGATGCCTAGTTCGTGCCCAAATGTCTCATACACACATTTCACTAAGGTGTTATTGGTGAAGAAGTCCATGGCCAGAATTTCACTTATTGTGTTTCCGTGGGTCTCGTAGCGACAGTCCAGGTTTGGCATATAGCATGTCTCCAACTGTCTACACACTGCTGGGCGATTTTGGTGTCAAATGAAACCCTATAGCGGGGCGTATTCATATGGAGTTGGATTATTTAAAACGTACGCACAAGCAAACACACACGCACGCACGAACACACACACACGCACGAACACACACGCACGCACAAACACGTACGCACAAACACACGCACGCATGAACACACACGTACGCACAAACACAGGCACGCACGAACACACGTACGCACAAACACACGCACGCACGAACACACACGTACGCACAAACACGCACGCACGCACAAACACAAGCACGCACGAACACACGTACGCACAAACACACACACACACACAAGCATGCATACACCCAAGCACACACACACACATACGCGGATACAAATGTATGAACATACACACGCACGTATGCACGCACACACTCACGCCTTTACATACACATACAGATGCTGCAATCAACTGGGTGGAGCCATGTTATGAGACCTAAAAATCCTTCCTGTTGGTTCTTCCGTCGAAAAATTTGGTCATGTACTTCCTGGCTTTGCGATCGAAGGGGCATTGAAATATCAATGCTCACACACATAGCAACAAAAATCAATGTGTTAATATATTAAACGATGTCAAACGATACGCGTGATCCCCAACCTCGTTGACAGCGGGGCGGTCGGGTAGCCTAGTGGTATAAGCGTTCGCTCTTCACGCCGAAGACCCGGGTTCGATTCCCGACATGGGTACAATGTGCGAAGCCCATTTCTGGTGTCCCCCGCCGTGATATTACTGGAATATTGCTAAAAGCGGCGTAAAACTATACTCACCCACTCACTCGTTGACAGCGGGTTACCGAGAGAAGACAAACACCGACTCGCGTTGATTTCGCCAACGGCCAGGCGTGATCTGTGGAGGGCGTCTTCTGGGTCAGAATCTTCATCATAGCTTTAAACATGAGCTGGATCAGGGGTATCTCAAAACTAAATTGCGGTCCGCAATATTTCAGCTTAATCACGGTGGCCAGAGCCACGCAAACCGTGGTTGAAAACATAAGCAACGACCCTTGCTGTTGGTGTACGATGACGCCGCCAGCCTTCTCACACAATATTACCACCCGGGCATAATTTGGCCTGACGGTGCGACGAGCTGGGGAACTATTCTACCCAGGAATAGTCCACGGGTTACAATGCTCTGTAGTCTGTCTTACAGACCCTGATACAAATATATCAAATAAAGCCCATGCAAGTCTATAATGTTTGGCAAGTCTAGATACTGCAGTATCTGAAAATGAAGAGAGTCTCTGGGCTCCCCTTTGTTATATTTTTATTAAGATAATTGAACAACTGTTTTTCTGTACGATATGTTCATTTCAGAGACAAGATGTTAGTCTTAATGCTCTGTATCAGGGCGTGTGTCGTGGCGCACACAAATAGGTGTTTTCCCAACCATAACATGAAATAATTATATTACTTTAACTTTTGTCTGTCCAAATTATATGGTCAAGATAATTTCGTTTTTATTTTGAGGCTTTTAACCACAACTATTGAGGATTAATTATTTATGTCTTATATTAATGGCGGGTTATGAGTTACTAAACTCAGTATAGTCCTGTATCTGTATAAGATACTCAGCTAACCTTGGCGATGTGAGATATTCCCCTTTTTGTTTGTCAAAACACTTGCCACCTGCCTCCGTGGTGGATAGAGCGTCTGCCCGGAGACGGAAGGTCGGTGTTCGATCCCGTTAGAAGATGGTACTTGTTGTTACCCTGACTGGCAGTCTGTGGGCTAGCGCACTATTATACGGCATTAGTCCGGACTAGTACAAGCGCACGCACGCACGCACGCACGCACGCACACATACGCACATATGCATACGTGTCGCTTTAGATAATCGCAATAGTCTTGAATGCGACGTTAAAACCCCCATCAACTAAGCACAAGTCTTGCAACATCTCCATGCATACACGCACGATCAGCGTTTTTTCCTCGACCCTTATATCACAGGGTGGCTGTTGTTGACGGCATACCTCCGTTGAAGACTGAATGAGTTATCGTTATGCAGGGCTGCACTACTAAGAATTTATATAAGTGAAAATAGATTTCCCAGAACACTGACGCCTGTATGTAGGTCAGATACACAGTGATAACGCCGGGAGCGGGAGACGCAGTGTGCAGACATCCTAGATTCCGACATCAGCACCCAGACACACCCCTCACGTTCCACACAGGTAAGACAAGTTTATTCAGTGTTTATGTATAATTGTTGTTATCGACGTTTGTTGGTATCCGCGACAGTGCGAGTGATAGAGGTAGGAGAACATAGGGAGATTAATGGTGTGTGTGTGTGTGTGTGTGTGTGTGTGTGTGTGTGTGTGTGTGTGTGTGTGTGTGTGTGTGTGTGTGTGTGTGTGTGTGTGTGTGTGTGTGTGTGTGTGTGTGTGTGTGTGTGTGAGTGAGTGAGTGAGTGAGTGTGTGTGAACATGTCCTGTTATGTGTTTTCTTCTCTACATGACACTCTTTACTTTTGAAACACTAGTAGGGTGTCCTCACCTCGAAGCCACTTACATTGCTCTGTGTTACCCCCAAACAGACATTGAATAAACTTTGACAATGCAGGGGAGGCAACTCTGAGTTGGCGTCTGAAGCGAATTTCCTAAAAATCGGTGGCATGTTTGTTGTTTAACGCTGCACTCAGCAACGATTGTGAACTGTGGTTTGCTCACTTATTTCATAATTCGGGATCCGTCTCCGAATTGTATTACACATCAGTGCAAGGGAAGCAAGTCTGTTTTGTGCAGTTTTTCACGGACAAGATTCAGTTCGACCCCAAACGAGTTAGCGACCGGTCATTATATATTTTTTTCAAAGCGATTGGTGATTTTAAGTGTCATACGGTTGGAATTTTCCGAGGTAAGAGTCTGACGCGATTCCCCCTTTTTCATTCAATCCTCAAAGAAGACGATTACATTTGGACAGTCATTCATACAGGTAATGATAAACCTATTTTGTTTCATTCAAATACCACTGATATTGTTACTGTTTATTATTATCATCATTATTATAATTGTTGTTGTTGCTGTTGCTATTGTTATTATAATACAGGCCAGTATATGCTACAGTTTCAAAGTTCCATTGAATATTTCAAAGATGCAGTTTTGTGACCGATGAATACAGCGATCTTTAAATGTTGGCTTGTGAAGGTGTATGTCCAATGTCTCTGCTTTCAATTGTTTTTTTTACTTGATTGCAAGGTGTAATTATGAGATTGTTCATATCCATAGACGCAATTTGTCGACGATGTCATTCATCGGGCGAGGAGGATGTCGCCACTGTGGATGTAGAGAATACGTGAAGCCACCAGAGGGAGAGAAATGTTACCACTGCAACCACGAGATGGACCTTCACGTCGTCAAATATCAACCACAACCAACTGTTGGGACACCAACCAGCAAGACCGGTGAATCATCTGTTCAGAACACAATGGATGCTGCCACGGTGGATGTTAGTCTGATGCACACGGGAGAGGCGTTTGAACAAGGAGCCCCTGACGTATGTTTCGAAGAGACGTGGGAAGTCCGCGCACCGTCTGACTTGGCGCATGGACATTTCGTCAAGCCCCATGATAGAGGTGCAGTCATCACAAAGCGAGTATCACCAATGACAGGAAAGGATGGAGATATCGGATCTAGTGAAGGTAATAGTCATTCTACTGCAGCACCAAGATCAATAGATGCGAAGCCAGACAAAGAACAGTTAAGTCCAGTTCCTAAACGAACAGCGTCTGAGATCAGTACCACAAAGAGGACACCGATAAAGGCATCCAATGTGTTCGTAGCTCCAGCACCTTACAATGGACCGGTATGTATTGGTACTTTGTAATAGATGTTTTTATGACATATCATACAAAAGCTATAAAGCTTCGACGTGTGATGATAAACTTTGAAGATGATGATCATGGTGTTGGTGGTGGATATATGATGTTTGATGATGATGAAGATGATGAAAAAAATACTATTTTTTTTCGGAATACTTTTTTGAAGACCTTTCAAGTTGATGAGTCCTTAATTCGGAGCCAACACTGTGAATCATCTTGCCCAGTCACCCAAACATGTCTTGGTCATAAACACAGTGTTTGCTTTGTTTGTAGAAACCATCTTGCTGGCGTCTTAGAATGAGCCATCTTGCCTACGGAACTGAACCCTCAGAAGCACTAAATGGCTCATACAAAATTGCCGAGGATGGTCGGACAATCTATGTGGGCAATGCCGAAAGTGCATCAATCAGAAGAGCACTGAGGAGACATTTCAAAGGAATGGACAAACAACACATTGGAGCATATCTAAGCACCCTACACGAAGAATACAAAGAGGAATTTATAACAGTGTTTTGGCTTGATATTACCATCAAACATGCCTGTAATTGCAGCTACCTTAAGTGTTTTGAAAGAATGGAAGGAAGAAAGCCAATGTACAACATGCAGGGCCATGCCTTCATCGCGCGACCAAAGCGAGTCGGTTCTTGTTCTGAATCTGGCCCAGATGATCACAAAATGGATACTCATGAAATCAAAAAATCGGAGTAAAGGATACTTTGCGAACATTTTGAATTTGAATAGGGCAAATGTATTCTCATTTGCATAAGTTGTGGTTAATTACTGTTTCTTTGTCTCACCTATTATTTTCATATGACTTGGTTGAGCTGAATAAAGATATCGTCAAAAGGAAGATTAACTTCGTTATTATTGTGGTCATATATTTGACATGGCATCAAAAGGGTTGTCGTCACGTTTACTGACATTTTTGGTTATTAATATAGCCAGTCAGCTTATCAGAGTGAGTGAGTGAATTGAGTTAAACGTCGCTTTTAGCAATATCACGGCGATTGACACCAGAAATAGGCTCCACACATTGTACCCATGTGGGGAATCGAACAAAGAGCTTCAACGTGACGAGCGAACGACAGACCATTTGTATTGGTTTAAAAGATAGGATATTTTTTATATAATAATAAGTGACCAAAACAATAACCTGTCTCGAACACTTACGAAAGGTGAGGGATAAGGGTGTTATATTGTGTAACATTGGTGATTTCGTCATGGCAGTCATATTGTGTGATTCATTATGCATGCTGTTGTCCATTAGTTTGTCTTGACCTGGCATGATTGGGAACGGGGCGGTCGGGTAGCCTAGTGGTTAAAGCGTTCGCTCGTCACGCCGAAGACCCGGGTTCGATTCCCGACATGGGAAGAATGTACGAAGCCCATTTCTGGTGTCCCCGGCCGTGATATTGCTGGAATATTGCTAAAAGCGGCGTAAAGCCATACTCACTCACTCACTCATTCATGATTGGGAACAGGCCACAGGCAGTTATCGCCATAACATTGCTGACTGGTTGAAACAGCATTTTACTCGGTTACATTTCTAAATGACAATATTGTTTGTGGTAAATTTAAGTATTAATGTTATTTGTTGTTCAAAGCTGCATTCAGCCCAGTTATAGTCCAGCTACATGATGGCGGCTTTTTTAAAACTGTTTTTTTTCTGTACGATTCCGAGTCGAGCTGTCTAACAAATAGCAAAACCTATTGTATTTGTTCACGTTTCAGACATGGCAATGTTCACGGACATCAACCGAGACAAGAGAGGAGTTGTACGGGGTAGGTGTCGAGACTGCCCCGAGGAATGTTCTCAGTATTCCCAGCCTGTCCTCAGACACAACTGTACATATTGCGGGTGTCCGGCGGCTCATCATGAGAGGGTGGAACCTCGACCTGAACTCATCATCAAGATAGAACCAGGGAAGGAGGGGGCAGGATCTCCGGGGCGGAGTGATGACCGACCACCACGCCGTCCGTCGAGAAGACCGGACGGGTGGTCCAAGGCCCAAGTCCAGCCAAGTACCTCCAGGCGAAATGAGTCGCCCACTGATTCACGACATCACCAGTATACATCACGTACAGTAATCCAGGTATTATTTCAACCCGTTAACTTAGCTCTTTAGCTTTAGAAAGTTTTAGAAGTTAGTTTGTCATTCGTGAGGTTTCATTTTAATGTAACCTTTCCTATATGGCTTATATTGTGTAAGCATCAGTGATGGATGGAGAACATGATTAACTAACGTTTGATCTTAGCTGCGACCGAGGCTTTGAACATAAGCACGTGCATACGTACGGTATTTGTTGTTACACCACAAACCTATGGAATGGGGGATGAAATTGACTTGATTGAACAGGTTTCTATCAGCTGCACTTTTAATATTTAACTTTAATGTTTCAGAAACGTTGTAAGACGTTATTTGTGGATGCTGGCGTCACATATTCTCATCTTCAAGAGAAACTTACAAAAACTCAATGCGGCGTGTTCACAATTAAGTGGGAGGGAAAAATAATTTATGTTGGGGAGCCAAAGAAGACGCCCCTATTAACTAACCTTCGTGGTATCTTTACTGGTGGAAGCCAACAAGACATCAGCAAGTATTTGAAAAGTTTATCCAACGATTTGAAAGAGAAGCATGTCCGAATCGCTTGGCTGACACACGTGGATGACGACCCACACTGCGAAACGTGCAGAGAAGGCAAGAGAAAGCTTTCGTATCGACATTGTGTTTCAAATCTGCAAAGCAAGGATCCAAGGAAGGTCCTCTTGGATCTCAAGAGAAATTTTTCACTCCATTAGAATCAAAATGTTTCTCGTGTTTCAACTGACCACTAATTGTAGTGTTTAGTTTGAAACCTTTCTACTCCTGGCATCGTCTTTGTAGCTGTATGTCTCTTTATCTCAACAGTCTGTAGCATAATTGTGGTTTTAAGGATTTTCTGGGAAAATATATTTGTAGGTAAAATCCCAACTCCCCAGTATGCAACAAACCACTCAGGGTATAACAGAAGATTATGATGTTTGAACATGTATTTGGGTGAAGGAAAATGTCACATCTCAAAGTTCCTTTACCTTTCAAAGCTCTATTTACAAGACATTTCTACATATCTTGTGATAAGAACATTATAATGCTGGGCAGAATGTGAATTAGAATCACCTCATCATATTTTGTGTGATCCCCAGTAAGGTGCTCTAGCTTTAGTTGCCAGTGGCATACTGTTTTACTGTCTTTTGTCGATAGGTATTATCAAATAATTAACTTGTTTTCATCGCAATATTGCCGATGCGATGTAAAATGTTAAGTCGCTCACTCATCATATTTAGATATGATACAACCTGAGGCAAAGGAAATACGAGAGTATCCAGTAATTTAATATGTACTGTTTCCCTACTTTTGAACTACAGTAAACTATGGTTATAACGAACTCAAAGGAACTACCAATTTTAGTTCGTTATAACCGTAATTCGTTATCAGCATATATACAGCATAACTATAGCATATAGTCGGGACTAAAAAGTTAGTTCGTTATATCCGTTAGTTCGTTATAAGCGTGTTCGTTATAACCGTAGTTTACTGTATGCCTATGAGTTTGTGTTATGAGTAGATGCCCGAGCAGGAATAATCCCGAAGGCGTACGTGGGACTTAAAATATCAATCAACGGTTTATCTGGTTCAGAATCGGTTATCTACGATCGCCGTCATATTGACGTAAACGATTTACATTTGACTTAATCATTATCGTTATAATGACGTCTTTTGCACTTTGCATATGTTTTTTTGTTCTCATAATCATATTTTACAGAAAAGACATGGTCTTATCATAACTTGTTTTATAAAAAATATTTCTTTCAAACTTATATTCAAATAAAATTTGCTCAGAGAGTGTCATCTTTAATCCTGGGGGCACTGTTGATGAAATTACAGTAGCCTCATACCTCGACAGCGAAAAAGACAAACATAATTAGTGAGTGAGTGAGTATGGTTTTACGCAGTTTTTAGCAATATTCCAGCAATATCACGGCGAGGGACACCAGAAATGGGCTACACACATTGTACCCATGTCGGGAATCGAACCCGGGTCTTCGGCGTGACGAGCGAACGCTTTAACCACTAGGCTACCCGACCGCCCCACAAACATGAATAGGAAAGCAAGGCGGAACAATGTGTACTTGTACTGGAGCATGGGAAAGCCAGTACCGTGGATCATGAGATCGACAGATCCGGGGTAGAATAGGTCTTCAGCAACCCATGCTTGCCGTAAAAAGTGACTATGCTTGTCATAAGAGGCGACTAACGAGATTGGATGGTCAGAGTCGCTGACTTGGTTGATACATGTCATCCTATCTCATTTGCATGGATCGATGTTCATGATGTCAATCACTGGATTGTCTGGTCCATACGCTATTATTTACAGACCGCCGTCATATAGCTGGAATTTTGCTGAGTGCGGCGTTAAACAAACAAACAAACAAACATTAGATTGACTCTTCAGCAGCTCCTGCTCTGCCACGACATCTAGGGGTCAAATACTGCCCTCATGACCTAATATGGACAATGAAGTTTCTGCACTCACGACACAGCGATATAGGCAAAACAGTTCCTTCACTCATGAGCAAACTATATCAGCAAAGCAATGCATGTACTATTGATCCAACTATGTAGGCAAAACAATTCCCGAACTCATGCCGCATGTTCACAGGGAAACCAATTTTTACACTTTTATGACTCCACTATTCTTGCTCTCTTCTTTGAATATTTCTAAGCAAAGTAGAGAAAAAAACTTGTCGCCTGTGTCTACCGAAGTTAAAGCATTTCATT